TGCTGCTTAATATGGGTTTTGAACCAAAGACAAGCAACCCTCACAAACATTCAAATACACTCTAAACCACTTACACAACCCAATCTTCTATGAATGTTTCTCTAAAATATTAAGAATAAACCCACACAAAACTTTTTTTAAAAAAAAAAAAAAAAAAAAGACTGCTTAATATAGGATTCAAACCACAACTACGTGGCCCTAACAAACTCTCAAATACACGCTAAACCAGCTACACAACCTAACCTTCTGTTAACATTTGTCTAAAATATAAATAATAAAACCACTCAAAACTTAAAATAAAAAAACACTGCTTAGGATAGGTTTTGAAACAAGGCCAACTACCCTAACACACATTCACATACACGCTCAACCAACTATACACGCCCACATTATATTAACATTTGTTTTTTTTAAGAATACAAACTATGGTCTGAAAAACCCAATGACCAAACAAACTATGTTCAACGATTCGAACACGGACCAACCTACAGAAAAAACACACCCTAGACCAACTAAGTAAACAATTACTATGATTTACAAGCCCTATTCTATACTATTAATACTCGCCCATGTACGGTACAAAAAACGCACTTGCACAATGCGTTTTATACCAAGTCACCGGCGCCGGAATAATTGTAATACGCAAGTGCTTCTAGCGTTTTTTGTATAATTCGAAAAACGCAATTGAGTCTTGCGTTTTTCACACAATTCCGGGGAGTAACACTGGTAAATAGTCCGCATTTCGGAGTTGCGTTTTACGTATTTTTTTGGATTATACGTAAAACGCATCTCCCAAATGCGTTTTAACGTATTCTATACGTCACATGAAAACGCATTTGGCAGATGCGTTTAAGGTATACAATACGAAAAACGCAAGTCGCTTTTGTGTTTTACGTAAATAATGAAAAAAAAATACACCCGGGACAACTCCAAAAACGCAAGTGGTAACTGAGTTTTACATATTTTTGTCAAAAAAAAAAAAAGTCAGCACACATTTTTGGAATTTCTCTTGCCCCTCTACACATTTCGGTCAATTATCCTTTCCTTTAAGTTCCGTTTGGAAATTCAGAAAATGACTTCTGGAAAATGTTTTACAGAAAATGAGTCATTTTCCGGAAAACATTTTGAGTCCGTTTACTAACAGAAACTGTTTTTTGTTTTTCATTTTCAGTTTTTGTTTTCATTGCACGATTCTGCTTTATTATATATAAAGATTCTGCTTCTACTACTATTTATTATTCTATTCTTGCCCTTTCAGTCGGTGTCGCAGTGGCCGCGTACGGCGAGGCGAAATACGACTCCTGAGGAGTGTTTCTGCAGTTAATGGCGGTGGGTTTCAAGGCCACCCGACTGGTTATGATACAGATCTTGCTAACCTCCAAGGGGATAAGCTTAAACCCCATAACATCCTTCGATTTCTCGCGCCTACAATATTATTCTTAGCTCATTCTTTGGGCTATATATATAGCTTGTATTATTCATTTATTATTTGGGCTAGTATCTTGGGTTTTTTACGTACTATTTTAGACCTAGCGCCCCAGGTAATAAAGCTACTATTTTCCTACCCACCACTCTGTACCTCTATACTCGATTTATGGTAGACTCGATCCTGACAAAACCATCTTAACAAAGCTAATTTGAATATTAACTGCCTTACACTAAAAAGTTAAGAATTTCAACTGCCAAAACCTTAAGGTGCGTGGATTTAATGTTTAAGGTGCGTGGTTTGAAAGCTTAAGGTGTATTAATTTGAATATTGACTGTCTTAATGTACAAAGTTAAGATTTTCAACTGCAAAACCTTAAGTGCGTAAATTTAAACCTTACAGGGCATGAATTTAGTGTTTAAGGTGCATGGTTTTGAGGCTTAAGGTGCGCTAATTTGAATATTGACTGACTTAGACCAAAAAGTAAAGAATTTCAACTGCCAAAGCATTAAGTTTGTAAATTAAACCTTAATGTGCGTCGACTTAGTGTTTATGGTGCGTGATTTGAAAGCTTAAGGTGCGCTAATTTGAATATTGACTACCTTAGACTAAAAAGTTAAGAATTTCAAGGCTTAAGGTGCGCTAATTTGAATTTTAACTGCTTTAGACTAAAAAGTTAAGAATTTCAACTGCAAAGCCTTAAGTGCGTAAATTTAAACCTTAAGGTGTGTGGATTTAGTCTTTAAGGTGCGTGGTTTTAAAGTTTAAGGTGCGGCACTAATTTGAATATTGACTGCCTTAGACCAAAAAGTAAAGAATTTCAACTGCCAAAGCATTAAGTTTGCAAATTTAAACCTTAATGTGCATCGACTTAGTGTTTATGGTGCGTGATTTGAAAGCTTAAGGTGCGCTAATTTGAATATTGACTTCCTTATACTAAAAAGTTAAGAATTTCAAGGCTTAAGTGCGCTAATTTGAATTTCAACTGCTTTAGACTAAAAAGTTAAGAATTTCAACTGCAAAGCCTTAAGTGCGTAAATTTAAACCTTAAGGTGCGTGATTTTAAAGTTTAAGGTGCGCTAATTTGAATATTGACTGCCTTAGACCAAAAAGTAAAGAATTTAAACTGTCAAAGCCTTAAGTGCGTAAATGTAAACTTTAAGGTGCGTGGATTTAGTGTTTAAGGTGTGTGGTTTTAAGACTTAAGGTGCGCTAGTTATTCTTTAAGAATTTCAATTGCAAAGCCTTAAGTGCGTGAATTTAAACCTTAAGGTGCGTAGATTTACTATTTCAGGTTCATGAATTTACTCTTTAAGGTGATGCCCCTAGAATCTGTTAATGAATGTTTATAAGGAATCAAAGTGATGCACCTTAACGGTTAAATTGATGCAGCTTAAGTTGAAAAACTATGCACCTTAACCCTTAAATCAATGCCCCTAGAGTCTAAAACTTGTTATTCATAATCCTTAATATTTGAATGTAATTTAAAAACATCATAAAACATATTGCATACAGGTTAAATGATTTAAATATATGAGCACAATTACAATTTATGTGTAACAATGATCGAAATTGAATGTAAAAAACATACCTTGATTGAATTCTTCCATCGGAGACAATCGCCGCAATTTTGCCTAATGTTTATGTATGGAGAAAGAAGAAAAGAGAGCGCTGAAAAGTTAACAATGGAGATTAGGAAAGAGATATGCGAAGAGGATACTATCGAAGGTGGTTAGGAGAGTTGGTTATGGATATTACTAAAGGATTAAAAAATTCCCTAATTACCATTAAACATTAAAAAAGACGCTGATATTTGGGCCATTTGGTAAACCCTTATCAATGGTTTAGATATAACCCTATTTTTCACAAGAGAAACACTTTGCATGGGAACAACCCCTATATAAGTGAAAAGGTCCCCTTAGGTGGAAAATAGGGTTTAATCACATACATTGATTCAATCCAGATCAAGGCCAGGGTTAGAATGAAGCAATTAAAAAAAAAAAAAAAAAAAAAAAACAACAACAAAAACAAAACAAAAAAACAAAACAAAAAAAAAAAAAAAAAACAAAACAAAACAAAAAAAACACGGTGACATTATAGTATTTTTGTGTAAGTTATTCTTTTTTTTTATTTTATATACTTTCGGAGCATTTTTTTTCCTTCTTGCAGAGCATAATGTTGTGCCTTCCAGAGCAAACTGATGTGCGTTTAGAGCACATTAATTTTCTTCCAGTGCATAGTATTGACCTTCCAGAGCACATTGTTGAGCCTTCCAAAGCATATTGTTGTGCATTCCAGAGCACATTGTTATGCCTTCGAAGTGTATATTATTTTACCTTAGAGTACACATTATTGATAAGTGGAATCTTGTTTGCTCATTTATTATTTATGGTCGTTTATGATTTGTGTTGAAGATCCTATATTAAATTTAGTCTTTTCAATAATTGTTTCACATCTTTGTGCCTTCCAGTGCACATTGTTGTGCCTTCTTGAGCATATTGTTGTGCCTCCAGAGCACATTGTTGAAGATCGTAGGTGGCAATTTTTTTTTTTTTAAAGCATTTGATCTAAGACTTAGATAGTTAGATTTATCCGTATAAAAGTTCCTGTGCGGTTAAATCTGAGCCATTGATCTTGCCTAAATCAATGTCAAGAATTAACTGTGATTCAAAAAATGCACGGTTGCAATTTGGTCTTTTTGCATCTAGGTCAAATTTAAGGTGCGTGGTTTTCCTTCTTAAGGTGCGTAGTTTTTGTATTGTGTAGCAGTGTAGCTTTAGGTGCGTCAAGTGTTGAAAACTTAAGTGCGTCGATCTAAAGTTTTAGGTGCGTGGTTTTCCTTTTTAAGGTGCGTGGTTTTCTTTCTTATGGTTCGTGGTTTGTGTGCTTAAAGTGCGTCAGTTGTTGAAACTTGAGGTGCGTCGGCGTAAAGCTTTAGGTACGTTGTTTTCCTTCTTAAGGTGTGTGATTTGTATACTTAAGATGCGTCAATTGTTGAAACTTAATGTGCGTCATGTAGGTTGTGTATTTAAGGTGCACCATATTAATGCTTACTTGCTTAGTCTTTTTGTGTTAACCACACAATCACACGGAAAGTTATATTTGCACCTGATCCACTCCCGTGTATATATATATATATATAATATATATATATATATATATATATATATATATATATATATATATATATATAACCACACAATTGTTATTTCAAAAGGTTGTGATAGTTAAGTGTAACAATATTAAATAACAATATGTGTGTGAATATTCATTTATGTAAAACAGAAAAAATAGAACTCCAAGAATCCTTTCAGAATTGGGTCCTGGACAGAGGCCAACCTGCCCTTACCTAAAAATGGCCTGCTTCTATGTCAGTATCAATTTCTTCATACATCTTCCAAAAATCTTTATAAATTATGTCACATCAATAATATATTGCTCTCTTCATTTGTGAACACGAGTATCAATACAAGCTATCATGAGTAGCAATTGAAAGTTGTACATCATTTTATATGCTGATTTATAGTTTCATTATTTTTTCCAGTGGGGAATTGTAAGTTCTCTCTGCTGTACATCATTCGAGAGTAGCATGAGGCTGTTTCTTTTGATTCTCATTTTCAGCTCCTATCCCAAGTGCTGCTTTCAATTTCTCCATCTGTTTTTCCTTCAAGGCAGCAATTTGGTGGGTTTGTGTTTCAGATGATGAAGCAAAAGGAAACGCGGCGGCAGCCTCTAAGGTTTTCCGAGTCTCTTCTAACTTCTCAGCGATCTCCACATCGGTGTATCCCTGCTCGGAGAGCTTCTCCTCGAGGACGAGCAGCTTGAGCTGGATCTGGCGTTTACGCTCGTGCTCCAGAATCTCCTTGTTAGGCTTCCGCGTCATGCCGGCGCTTCCCTCATCCGCCCCAAAACCCCTCGCGCCGCCATCGATTACCACCTTGTTGCTCTTCGACCTCACCAAAATTTTGTTTGTCTGCACATAACCGTTCGTCCCGGAGCCCCGGGCCGTCGGTAAACCGATTCCGTTATACATCTATGCCGCCACTCGCCCGGAAATTATGTCTCTCAGATCAAAGTTGGATACTATATTGGTATGAGATTTAGAATTTATAGGGTTTTTAAAAGTCTAATACTATTCAAAAAAGAGTTAATTCTATGAAATATCATTCCAGAATCTATGAACTAAAATTTTAGAATCTAATCTATGAACTAAAAATTCCAAAATGAATGAACTAAAATTCAAGAATCTATGAACTAAAATTTCAGAATCGATGAACTACAATTCCAGAATCGATGAACTAAAATTCCATAATCTATGAACTAAAATTCCAGAATGAATGAACAACATAATGTTGTTGCTGGGAATCGAACATGAATTTTTTTTTTAAGGGGAGACGCGCGTTTTTAATAAAACGACGTCGTTTTTGCATCCGTATGCACCATACATGGTGCATACGGATGCACAGCATAACTACTCAGTGATATGCATTCATGGGCAAATAGTACAATAGCAATCGTTATACCGTGCACTAGGGCGCACATAGCAATGTGCGCCCCGTGCCTCCCAAAATAACGTCGTTTTGTATTCTGTTATAAAATTATGTGTTTTCATATATAAAATTCTGTACCTTCAAAATATGGGATTTTTATCTTTTAAAAGAAGATTATGTGTTTTCAGATATAAAATTATGTGTTTTCTATTATATAATTCTGTACATTCTGAGAATTTTCAGTTATAAAATTCTGTGTTTTCAAGTATATAAAATTCTGTGTTTTCAAGTATATAAAATTATGTGTTTTCTATTATATAATTCTGTACATTCGAAACATGAGATTTTCAGTTATAAAAATTATGTGTTTTCAGGTATAAAATTTTGTATTTTTTATTTTACAATTCTGTACAATCGAAACATGAATTTTTTTTAAGGGATTAACAGCAAACACGCGAAAAGTATCAAAACCACGTCGTTTTAGGGCAATGCTCACAATGCACTCTGCGCCCTGGTGTACGGTATAATTTGCCGTACAATAAAAGGAAGCATAATATAAAAGATCAATTACTAGGATTGAGATTATCTTATTTTCAGCAACTAAGATCTTTAAGGATCCATTCTATTTCTAACATAATATTGTTATTTCCTATTTTAGCTCTTTTGTAAACCTTAAGTAGCACCATGCTTTGCAGTAAGAGGTAAGTTGGAATTTGAATAAAATCAAAAGGAAATTTCTTCCTTCAACTCTCTCTTATAGGCCCATAACGAGGAGTATAACTCGTGATCATGTCACATGAATACTTAACCAGGTAAAGAAGACTGCAAATTAGTGTTTAAAAAATTTTCTTTCATCTGTGAAGAATGCAAAACCACCAAAGTTTAAGCACCAGAAAGCAAAACAAAGTTACTATATATATTCTAAAGAATATTGCATTTTACAAACTTGTATTACCAGAAGTCTTTGCAGGAACATATGCCATCTTTGAAATGGTGGAAACGGTTCCTATCCCTTACCAAAATTTCGCGTTTATAAACCTTAGAGATGAACTTAGTTGCAGAATGACAATCCTCACAAACGCGCAAGTTCTTCACAATGTGTATACAAGTATGAGGCGGTGTCTTCATAAGTGCAAAAGCGATTGCCAGTTTTTCGCTATGCCTATTCAAAGTGTCCTCCTTATCTTCTTCATCGATATCAAGTAACACTTCCGATGTTGTGGCTACATATCCAGCCTTCTTGATCTGTTTTGCCATTTCATCCATCATCTCGTATATCTCTTTGTACTGACCATGACTTTTATCTCCTGCCACGAATTCGTAAATTTCATTATCGAGCTCAACCATAGTGCTTCCTGGAGTCTTTCTCATTCCCTTCTTCACCATGACCTCCCGGACCATGGTTTTCTTCTCCCAGTTCAACATTTTCGCGTAAATATTGGAAAGAAGTACGTAATTTGAGTCGTGCATTGGCTCATCTTTTATTAACTCTTTGGTTATCTTTTCTCCGAGTTTTAGCTCTCCATGAGCACGACAAGCAGTGACTAGGGTTCGCCAAATGACAGCGTTTGGCTCAATGGGCATTCTGTGGACAAATCTCAGTGCTTCTTTAACAAGTCCACCCCTGCAGAAGAGATCAACCATGCATCCATAGTGCTCGATTTTGGGTACAATTCCGAATTCCTTTGTCATCGAAGTAAAATACCTCCTACCTTCTTCGACTAAACCTGAATGGCTACAAGCAGTGAGTAATCCAATGAAGGCAACTTCATCGGGCAATTCTCCAGCTCTTCTCATTTTCTCAAACAGCGAAACTGCCTCCAAGCCCCGGCCATGCATCGCTAAACCATCGATAACACAAGTCCAGGAAACGATGTTCTTCTCTTCCATATCGAAAAACAAACTCAGTGCCTTATCAACATCCCCACACTTTGCAAACATGTCAACGAGAGCGTTGCAAAGCTCCAAACTTTTCTGAACTTTTTTCCTCTCGATATACCCCTCGAGCCACTTACCAAGCTCAAGAGCTCCCAGCTCCCTGCAGGCAGATAAGACAGAGACCATTGTGATCTCATCAGGCCTCACCCCTGCCATCTGCATCTTCCTAAATAACCCAACAGCCTCTGTGGACATACCCCACCGTGCATACCCACCGATCATCACACTCCACCCAACCGAGTCCCACTTAGGCATTTCATCGAACACCTTCCTCCCATACTCAACCCCGCCGCTACAGCAACAGTACATGTGAACCAGAGTGTTCAAAACATTCCTATCATCACCGAACCCCAACTTCACCACTAATCCATGCACCGTTTCGCCTAGCCTCAAGTCTCCAATCCCAGCACACGCCTTGAGAACAAAAGGGTAGGTAAACTTATTAGGCAAAACACCAAGATTGCACATTTTCTGGTAGTGAAACACCGCATTGCGCTTAGAATCACGGGTTTGAGCGAAACCTCTGATCACAGTGTTGAAAAGGAAAGAGTCAAAGGCACGAGGCTCCGTGGCTGGGCCGAAAATGAAGGCTGAAGCGTAGTTTATGGCGCCGAGCTCAGAGGAAACTGAAGCGAACTTGGTGAGGACGAGAGGGTTGGATTCGAGGCCTAACTTGAGAATCTGGGTTTGTACTTGGGAGAGTTTGGGGAGAGAATTGCAGAGTTGAAGGAGTGCTAAGCAGCTCTGTTCCGCTGCCCTGCTCTTGCTAGTAGTAGCTCTGAGTGGTGTTGCCGCTGAGGAAAGCATGGAGGGAAATTACGAACTGAGATTTACAGAATTACATGGCAATTTAAGAAATTTGCTTTTGTATTAGCTGCAATCTTGGCATGAACTCATCACAGATTTTAATGGAAATTTCTTAAAAGTAGTGAAGTACATTACTGGGATTCAATAAGGTCTGAGATTCTAAAAAGGCTAAATCTCTGATTCAAAAATTTTCCTCCTTCTAATTCCTGATTTCGTAATTCAATTGCACCAGCTTTATGATCTCAAAGTCCGTAAGAAACTTTTTTTTTTTTTTTTTAAGAAAATTTTGTTGTGAAGTTGTTACCAACTCATTTATCACAGCATTTTATGACGAGAACAAAAGGAAAGAAGTGTTATCATTCCAAATGGAAGGTCACAAGTTAGAATCTCATCCAAATAAAAAATGTGACATAATAATATTGAACACAATCCTAATATGTCTTTTTAGTTTTTACATTCAACTAATTCGAACAATTAATTTTACTAAACATTTTAATTTCAACTGCTAAGTTTTAGCTAACTTTTCAGCTAGACATACCGAACAAAACCAATATATACACTAAAGGTCCGTTTGGAAACTCAAAAAATGACTTCTGAAAAATGTTTTATGAGTACTCAGAAAATGACTTCTGAAAAATATTTTATGAGTTTACAGTGTTTGGATGCAATAGGAAAATCCAGTCAATGGAAACTGTTTTCCGTTAACGGGGGAAAATGAAACCATTTTGGCGGAAAATGACTTCCACTAAAATTTGGAGAAGTCATTTTCCGCCAAAATGTTTAAACATACAATTCTACTTATTTTTTCAAAAAATAAACTAAACACACCAAATTTTTCAAAATGTAACCAAACACTGGAAAGGAAAATATTTTCTGAGAAATAACTCATTTTCCAAAAAACATTTTCCAGAAATCGTGTTCCTGCTTTCCAAACGGTCTAAGCTTTGTAACTTTAAAATAAGTAGCTTTAAAATAAGTTAAGAACATTGACTTAATTAATCTATTCAAATATATACATTTACCACTTTAAGTAGCATTTAGCACCAAGAATAACAACAGCAACAACATCAATAACAATTTTATTAAAAAAAACTGCTAATAACAGAACAGAGCATGAACAACTTAGCTATAACAACACTGACAGTTCATGATAAAGGTCAAATTTTTGTTAATGGCAAAAAGAGTTACAAAAAAAAAAATTGTTCTAGCGCAGCAACAAATATAAATCAATCATATAGAACACAGATGGGAGAATAAACCAGCCATAATCGCAGCCGTGCAGACTACATCTTCTTGAGCTCGTCTTCCTTGGGATCACGAAGGGTTCCGAACATCCAGTCCATCCATATTGTGTAGTGACCATAATTATGACGATAAGTGGTATGATGTATGGTGTGAAAGGCAGCCCCCATGACGGGCCATATTTTACCGTCTATGCAGTCGTGAATATTTGCAGTCCATACGGCTTCCATGAACAATAGGGCTATATGTGTCCTGAAGTGTATTGGTACCAGGAAAAGAGCGATTACGTGTGGCACTGCTTGCAGTATCCCATCCAACGGGTGGAATGCCAAACCTAGAACGACAAGTAGCAAGAGAAATCACTGCATTAACACGCGTTTCAAATTAAATGGGTGTTGGAGATGCAAGAAGTTGTACAAATTCAAATAACAAAACTGAAGGTTTTTTTTGGAGAAAAAGGAGGGGTACACCCGAAGAGGATAACAAAACTGAAGTTAAGAGACTATCTAAACTAAATTTCATTCATTTGCAAAATTATTAGGGATTCAGAGAACTCAACACCACCCAAGCAAATTCTTGGAATATATGTCAAAAACACCATTTCTAGTGACAGGAATTCCATTAAAGCCAAAACGAGTTAATACCCAATTTAGTCATCAACTATAGTGGTTTTTCTCGATTTAGTCCTAAACATCTTTTTGTGCTTAATTAGGTCCTGGATTTTGATGGTTTTACCTAATTGAGCCTTCGACTGTTAGAATCAAGGATTAAATCGAGAAAAGCCTGTTGGTTGAGGACTAAATTGGGTAAAATCACTATAATCGGGGACTAAATTGGGTATTAATGGAGGGGGTCCTGGACTTTAATGGTTTTACCTAATTGAGCCTTCGACTGTTAGAATCAAGGATTAAATCGAGAAAAGCCTCTATAGTTGAGGACTAAATTGGGTAAAATCACTATAAACGGGGACTAAATTGGGTATTAAAGGAGGGGAAATTACCAAGCTATCTTAACAGAGGACTCAATTAGGTTAAACCATCAAAGTCCAGGACCCAATTAAGCACAAAAAAATGTTTAGGACTAAATCGAGAAAAACCATTATAGTCGAGGACTAAATTGGGTATTAACTCAAACCAAAACATATATATTTAAAAAATAATAATAATAATAATAAAACGATATGAGCAAAGCACACATGGGAGTAACTACTAACTAGGTATTGTCAACAAATAAATAAAGAATTTAAATGAGTGGATGGTGGAACATACCGGCAAAGGGAGAAAGTGTATTTTGCTTGTTGTAGATATGGTGTGTAGCGTGAAGATACTTGTAAAGTGGTTTTATGTCATGCAACTCTCGGTGCATCCAATAGATTCCAAACTCCACAATAACAAGATAAGCAATTAGATAGACAACATAGAGAAGCCATCCTACATCACTTACACTTGAAACACATCTAGTCCATCCACTTTCAATCATGTGTTCGGACACACTGGGGAGAGCAGAGTACCACGGCATAGCCTTCATCGCGACTCCTATTTGCAAGAGCATAGCTTTATTTGAAGGGATCGCATCTACAACAAGCATGTCAAGTGCAATGAGAAACAAGCAAGTATTCATAGTTCATTGAAATTAAATAAATCAACAATGTATATATACATACACAATTATCTATGGAATTTAAACCCTTGAGATTATCAAATGGAGGAAAAGAAAATACCTTTAGGGACATAATGGCCACGTTTCAAGTAGTAGATGTAGAAGCACCAAAGAAAACCAGACACGAAATAGAGTAAGGTTCCGCCAATGTAGTTGCGGAGCCAACTTTGGAAGAAGTGGGGCAGAGGACCCCACAGTTTTTCCGGCAACAAGGCTCCCAGCACCAAGTGGTTGTACCACGATGTCTCCTCCACAAACAGTTTCAAGTATTCCACATCCATCGGACTGCGGTGAAGATAGGACAGGGTTTTATGAGATTCTGGCAACCGTATACAAAAGAGAACAAGTGGCAGAAGACCCTTTCAGTGGCTACGAGAAATGATCGTGTAACAATGAGGTTGTTTAGAATATTGTACTTGAGCCAGAACTAGCAGTGATGTACTGTGATTTTCTGATTGGTTTCACAGCCTGGACCACTGGCACACCAATGGCAGATGTAGAAAATAGTTAAAATACAAAACGGTTCAAATAAAAAAACAAATTAAAACTAAAACAAACAATAATAATTTGTGAAGTATTAAATTGGAAACAACATTAATCAATTAAACTAGCAACAGACATTCATCAATTAATCTGGTGTAGAGTTAGGGATGATAGAACTACATTTGTTCATATGATTGAGTGAAATAATTTAGCTCAAGGATCACTTTCATTAGTTTTAGCAGAAGAATAAAAGGAATTGGGAACTATCAGCAGAAATCTTAAAGAACATATTTTTCACTTAAAACAGCATAAGATTTTCCTTAAAGAACAGCTTAAGGAATTAAGGTACAGAGAGCTTAAAGAACAGAATTTTCAATTTACCCTAAATAAAGAACCAAAACTAGAATACTGGTAATTGAACTAAATTAACCAAAATTAAATAATAAAAAAAAAAAACAAAACAAAAAAAAAACAAAAACAAAAACAAAAAAAAACAAAAACAAAAACAAAAACAAAAACAAAATGTGCAAATTGCAACCCACTGATTTCTAGAGTTTGAAGCTGAGGACAAAGGGTAAAACCTTACCATCCACCAGAAATCTTGAACATTTAAATATTAATAATTTTCCTATTCTATTTCGTTCTTGGTTTTTGATTTTTTTTTGGGTGAATCCAGAAACACATTTTATCTAACATTCTTTGATGTGATTTATCAATGAATGAATCAAAACTATATAGATATATATATATATATATATATATATATATATATATATATATATATATATATATATATATCAACATCAGATTTATAAATTTTTTTTTTTAAAACAAAAAAAAAAAAAAAAAAAAAAAAAGGCACAATACACTACACTGTATTCCATTAAATATTCTTATGAGAACCCAAAATTCTGCTTCATTGCCCCAATAACTTCCCAAGTTCCAAACATCCATATATTTAAAACTCAAATGCATAATAATTAAAAGGAAAAAAGCAAGCATACAATTTGCATTTGTATGACTGAACAACAGTTGCATGTGTAAAAAGAAAAAAAAAAAAAAAGGCACTTTAATTGTATATCTGTGAATACATAAATCTTTGGGAAATGCAAATGGAGATGAAGAAGCAGACCCAGTTCGCGAAATCTATACACATAACACTGATTTCTAGAGTATGACGCTTTAATGTGGACAAAGGGCAAAAACTTTACCATCCACCACAAATATTGAACAGTCAGAAGAAATAATAAATAATACGGAGTACTCCGTAATAATTAGTGTAATCCAGAAAAAATAAGAGTAGGTCAAAGCCACAAAAAATCCAGCAAAAAAAAAAAAACTGCAGCTGCGAAAAATCAAGAAAAATCAACAAAACGAATTTAATCCAACTACTCATTGTATCAAAACGAGAGAGCACGTTCAAAAATTAAGAAAAAAATCTGAAAACAAAATATCAGCACCCATTCGATGATTCGAAAATAGATAAATCCAGAGAAAACAAAATATATACATATCAAATTATCAATGCACCTTCGACGATTCGAAAATATTTAAAAAAAAAAAAATCTAGCCAAAACTCACCTGCATCCGCCTCAGATTTGCGATGCAGCGAAGGTTTTCCAGCCACCACGAAGGCGCCGGCGGTCTGCCGTCTGGAGGTCTCCGACTCCCGGCTGAATGTCGTGAAGCCGCGAAAACTAAGGCTATCGGTGTCGCCGGTAACCTCTTGGAGTCCCGGTTTCAGTCGAACCGTCGAAGGTAGATAGTAGATTCCAAAGTGGCAAGGACTACAGGACTAGGTACAGTGTAAACCAAAAAAAAAAAAAAACTAAATTGATTTTAATTTATTATTACTCCGTACTATTATGTTGAATTAAATTGTCCTTTAATAGAAAAGGGAAAATGGCACTTTTTCCCCCTGAGTTATATACTTATAGCATTTTTTCCCCCTGAATTATTTATGTAAGCACATTAGCCCCCTCAATTATTTTAAAAGTGGTGGTTTTTCCCCCTAATATATTTTATTGACATTTCTACCCTTAAAGTAAACATTTTATTTATTTTTCCTTTTCAATAAATTATTGCGTATACATAGGGATGACCACGGTTCGATTCGAATTGAACCAGACACTATAGCAATCGAATTAAAAGTTTCTGGTTATGATTCAGATCCAGAACCCAATATTTTAATTTCAATTCATTAAAATTATGAATCGAAAAAACTGGATTCTGAACCGTGAACCGGCGGTTCTAGATCCGGTTAGCAATTTTAAACCGTCTTTATTTTTAAAATTTTAATTTTTTATTTTAAAATAGTCTAAATTCAACAATAAATGTATTTTATTTTTTTCAGTTTGGACCATGAACCGGCCGTCCCGGTTCACGATTTTAATAAAATCTAAATATCGTGTTTCGATTCTAAATTGTAATTAGAATATTTCGATTTGATTTCTATAGTGTCTGTTTGGTTTGAACCAACTTGTGGTCATAATTTGTTAGAGAAAAAAATAGTTGAAATATTTATTTTAAGGGTAAATATGTCCATTTAACATTTCAGGGGGAAAAACAGTCACTTGAATAATTTAGGGGGGAAAAGTGCTATATGTATATAACTTAGGGGGAAAAAGTGCCACGGGGTAACTTCCCAAAATGAGAGGTCATGAGTTTTATTGGATTTAAAAATGATTTTTATCATATTAGAGGCCATAGCCAATGACATTATGATATAGTGACACGGGGTGACTTCCCAAAATGAGAGGTCATGAGTTTGAGCTCCCGTGGAGGCGATATTGACTCTTTATGTTTTGGTGGGTTGAAAACAAGACAAATCAAAGAGAGAGAAAGGGAACCCAACAGGGTAACTCAAGTGGCAAATAAGCTCTCTTTGTGGGGGAGAATTCCGGGATAACCCGGGTTCAATTTCCACAAGTGATGACTCCTTTGGGCTAGCTTCAGTGCCTCTCGGAGCGAACCGGGTGAACCTAGACTGTTAAATGGACAGAGAAGACGTGGGCTAGCTTCAGTGCCTCTCGGAGCGAACCGGGTGAACCTAGACTGTTAAATGGACAGAGAAGACGCGGACCATTTTATGGTTTACATCAAAAAAGAGAGAGAAAGGGGAGTTCATTGCAAAAAAATAATAATAATAATAATAAAATAAAAAATAAAAAAAACCTGGGCAGTCAAGTTACATAAAAAAGACCGGCAAGAAAGTCTAAAGAAAAAAACTAAAACTACTATTCTAGTTGGCTCACCCTGTTGGTCCAGGGGGAGCTTTACAGGAGCAGCAGTAGTCTGATTCTAGCAGCGTCTCAACAGCAGACGTTATGCCATGGAACCGTGTTCACCATTCATGGTGAACACGGTTCTAACGGTGTTAATACACCGTTATCTTTTTTTTTTTTTTTTTTTTAAATTAATTGCGTGACTTTTCTTCTTTATTTTCACATTTTGCGGTTTCACTTTAATTTGAGGTGAACAAAGATTTCGGACATTCATAAATTATGAATTCATGCCTGCACATTCATTCACTTTGGAACCACGCCTACACATTCCCGTCCGAAATCACGGACATTCATAAATTATGAATCCATGGCTGCACATTCACTTTGGAACCATGCCTACACATTCACTTTGGAACCATGAGATTATGAATTTTCTGTTATGAGATTATGAATTTTCAGTTATGAGATTATGAATTTTCTGTTATGCAATTATGAATTTTCTGTTATGAGATTATAAATTTTCATTACATTCATAATTTCGGACATTCATAAATTATGAATTCATGCCTGCACATTCACTTTGGAACCATGCCTACATATTCCCGTCCGAAATCACGAACATTCATAAATTATGAATCCATGCCTGCACATTCACTTTGGAACCATCCTACACATTCACTTTGGAACCATGAGATTATGAATTTTCTGTTATAAGATTATGAATTTTCTGTTATGAGATTATGAATTTTCAGTTGTGAGATTATGAATTTTCTGTTATGCGATTATGAATTTTCTGTTATGAGATTATGAACTTTCATAAAATTCATAATCTCATAACAGAAAATTCATAATTTGATCAAACGCGCGCCGTTAACTCCACATCCGCGAAAATTTTTTTTTTTTGGCCTAAAAACGACGTCGTTTTGCCTTGTGTTCACCATTCTCGGTGAACACGATTCCGTGGCATAATTTGCGTCTCAACAGTTACTCGGTAAGCTCAACTACGTATTCGCCATTCAGGTCCAATAACGCCGGTCCATGGTCCAACGGAACCTGCTGACCGCCTACCTGTCCGATCGCCTGATAGTCTAGGTTAGGGATGGCAATTTCAATCCGCCCTGCGGATATCCACACGAATCCACCCCCGCATGGATTGGTTTTTTTTAGGTGATGGTGGGTGGTGGGTCGGGATGGATCTTAAAAAAAGTAAAGCCACGGTGGGTAGGGTTGGATTCGGGTTCTATGTACAAAACCCGTCTAGAACCCCACCCGACCCACCATGTGTGTGTGTTTATATATATAATAGTAAAATAAGTACTAGTATGTACTTATTCATAAAAGTTTATATAGCTTCGTGTATCTTTTTACTATCTTTTATATCTAAACTACTATGTTTATTTTTTAAAATTAACAATTTAGTTATTATGTTTAAATATTTCAATTATTTTATATTTTAGTATCACTAATAAATTTTATTATTTTATTATGTGTAAGTAATTTAAATATTATTTTTTGAAAAAAATGATAAGATGATAAGGGGTGGGTACCTGTAGTGGACACCCGCACCCGGTGGTTTGGGGGTGGATTATGAAAATGTCCACCCGATGTGGGTTGGAGGTGGGGGTAGGTGGAGAAATTATAAGGTGGGTCGGGTGATGGATGTAGCCCTCCCTGACCCACACCCGACCCATTGTCATCCCTAGTCTAGGTCGAACGCCCCTTGGTCATGTGCGATGGTAGCTGGGTCCACATTATAGTCCGCCAAGGCAGCCGGGAGTCCATACCAGTGCGGACTGAAGTCGTTGTACCTCCTCATCATGACAGCGTAGATCTCCTTCTGAATATCCACCATCCCAAGCTGGTAATCTTCCGTGCCCGCATAATGCTGAAGTCGACCAAATTCTTTCGTTTGGTTATAGAGAATTACAATACCGCGAAAATGAAATTCCCTCATTTTAATGGAATTAGAATCTCATGTCGCCCTTGGTATTTCAATTCCATGGACCTTAGGAAGAAAAAGAAATAACTTTGACAGAAAATTACCTCTATCCCTTTTTAACATAAAATTGATGTTTGATATCTCTCTTTCAATTTTATAATGTGTCTTATTCTACTCTCAACACAAAACGTCAATCAGTATGCCAACCTCAATGAAATATGTTTTCTCCAAACTCCCTTCTCTATTTTAATGCTTTCGTTATGCAATTCTGTGGTTTTTTTACATCGTGTTACATAAATTTTCAAAAGTAAAATTTGAATTTGGTCATTTAAGAATAATAATAACAACAACAACAATAATAATAAGCATGATCATTTTAGACTTTATTCTACTTATTCCCTTTTAATTTTCATGTATATTAAACATTGAAACTGAAATTCCCAGTAATTCTATTTCTACAAACCAAATACTGAAATTAAAATTACCACTTTACTCCCACATTATTCATCTTATCTCTCATGAATTTACAATTCATTTCCCATCTAATTCCCTCCCTTCAACCAAACGCCCTGTAAAATTGTAATGTAAATTGTCTAAATTAAATTAAATATGTAAATATAATATTAAATCATTAAAAACAATAAATAAATCAATACTAAGGTTGCATTTGGTTAGAGACTTTTGTACCTTACTATCAGATTTGATACCCATTATCATATTTGTTGATCTACTTTAAACAATCATTTAGTAATCATAAAACATATTACCTTAAAAAAAAAAAAAAAAAAAAAAAAAAAAAAAAACTCATTACCTATTCTCTTTAAACAACATAATAAAAAATGAGGGAAAAAATAAATACATAAAAAAATGTGATTCTTTATGCATTCAATATTAAACTTATATATATATATATATATATATATATATATATATATATATATATATATATATATATATATATATATATATATATATAGGGAAGGGATCAGGTGCATTTGAGGCTTCCCATGCGGTTGTGCGGGTGGACACACGTTAAGTATTAATCTGATGCACTTTAAAGTACACAACACACGCACATTAAGCACACAAACCTCACGCATGTTAAGCACAATCCTCACACAAGTACAAGTCTCACGCATGTTAAGCACAAGCCTCACACATGTTAATCACAAAAGCACACGCACCTTAAGTTTTAAAAACAACTCACATTAAGTACAGACTCACGCAACTTAAGGACACGACACACGCACATTAAGCACAAAACTCACGCACATTAAACATAAAACTAATGCACTTTAAAGTTTCAACAACAACTCACATTAAGTACACACTCACGCATATTAAGTACAAGACTTACGCACATTAAGTACAAAACTCACGCACATTAAGCATAAGACTCACACACATTAAGTACAAAACTCGCGCACATTAATCATCGCACAACCGCGCGGGAAGCATTCATACGCACGAGAACTTTAACCTATATATATATATATATATATATATATATATATATATATATATATATATATATATATATATATATATATATATATATATATATATATTTATTTATTTATTTATTTGGTTTAATTTATTAATTAATTATTTATTTCGATTTCACTTTATATTTATTATTACTAAT